AGACACTCATACCATACCACACCTCCAGGAAATCACCCTACCCCTCGGTAACCGCCGAGCTCATAGGCAATACGCCGTCCCTCCCGAACATTTCTAAGCTTGAACTCCACTTCGCCGCGTTCCCACACGCCGATTTGCGCACAGTCGGCCTTCATCGAAAAACCGCCGCCGCCTCCATCACTCCCATCAGCAACGTATACCGCACCACACGTATATCTCACCGAATTGTACTAAGTAGGAGTCAATAAAAACCCTCCAAGTAACTGTCGAAGCTCACTGTGATAAGGCGTTCCCGCGGCCTCTTCGAATCAAGGTTCAGTTCGACTCGCATGCCCTCAATTTCAGGATTCGCCGCACTGCTGTTCACTCGTATCTAAACCAGTAAGTGCTCCTTAAGCAATAACCCCAAGACCTACAGCATGAGTGAAATAACCCCAGTTAGCAGCAAAGTCACTCGCCACATAATTCTTTTCAAAAGGAATATTCAAAGTCATCTTTGCTTTGTTCTCATCCATGCACGCCACCTTCACAGTGAACAATGAACTCACTGAAAAAGAATCGCGATAAGAATACGAGCTGCTCCATCAGCTACCTCCAGTGTAAAATATTACGCACATATTCAACCACATTTGTGAAAGAATTTTGAGGAAATTCTCACTGGTTTCTTTACACTTCTACCCTAATTCGTATATAAACTACTTTACTTGGCTGAGAGAAAGCAAAAACATATTCCCCCAACACTTCTGGCTACCCTCATCAACTGAATAGCCTCTCTTCGAACTCCCCTGCTCCCGAACGCGATCACATCGTAAGGCTAACCTCTCAGGCTTCCCCCCAACAGTAAACTGAATAACCTTATCAACGACTTCAAGGATGGTGGCTTACCTCCAATCTGCGTCCAGTAGCAAAGAAGTGCTCTGGTGAGTAATCAACCGCAGCCTTGACGAGTTTCAGTCCATCACCAAGTGCAGGAGAGTCGAATACAGGAGACTTCGAAATGTACTCCTCAACAATCTCAACCTGAATAGACTCAAGTGTGGGAAAATTTTCACATGTTCAACGACGTGCGTTGGTGACAATATAAAAATTTTCTAGGAAATTTTCGGGAAATTATGCTGAAGTGTATAGAAATTGAGAATAATTTACCAAAATTCCCCTCAGAACCTCCATAAACACCTATTTGACGATGTGCATATTTTCCCACCCTGCACTCGACCCGACCAACTCACCGTAGTGACGCCACCCCACTGCACAGCGAAGTCCGACGCTCCGTGATGGTCTTTGAAATAGAATCGCACAGTCGAGCGGCCGCAGGTGCTCTCCACCACGAACCTCCCCTCAAATGATCGATAAATAGGGCGCTGCACTGCTTCACAACCGACATAAGGTTGTTTTGAACCGGACCGAGTGCTGGCCAACTGCGACAAGAACAAATTTCTTGAGGACACGAAGTCTCCACTCAGGCAAGCTTACCGCGACCGCGTTCCCCTTGTACGCCGCAACAAGGTAATATGTACCATCACCCAGCTCAACAGATTCACAAAGATCGCTGACGTCCTCTGATATCTAAAAAAAGGTTGTAAATCCCATACCATCCCCGACGCAACTCACCTCCTCGTATTCGTTGTCCGCTGCGTGTACAGCGAATGGCTGCACTATTGCTGCTATAACCATAACAAGAAGCAGTGGGAATAACGGGGATCTCCTCACAAGTGGCTTGTCGCGAGACTTCGAGTCGTGCATGATAGGGGCTTGAAAACGGCAAAAGCCGGTAAAGGCAAGAAGAGGCCTGATGGTGAGAAAAAATAAGTCGACTTCATCGATCTCTCTGAGGAGTTCATTTCGAATGCCTCCTATACCAAAAGGCATGCTCATGAGCCATCTTCAGGGGGAAACACATGCATAATATAAGCAGCTATGTAGAGAAGTACTTCACCCTGCAATTCACAGCAGCGAGCCTTCCCAGACTATTAGCCCTCAAATAGTCAGCGGTTGATGACCCAACCCTCCACGGCTAGGTGAATTCATCAACAACGCACATGCAGGCCCGGCAGGGTACTCCCCATGGTATAGTGATATATAATCAGTTCATGGTCATACCATGGCTTACAGAGACTACAGTCTCAA